AGAGATCATGGACTAAACATAGACATTGGATTTTTGACACATTATGATCTGCCTGGCAACTGACTCCCCAGCCCAGCCCCTGGCTTCTTTACTTTTCATTCCATCCAGGAAGAGCACACACCAACTGCTGAAGCTTCCTTAGCCTGATGAAGGGTTTTTGAACCCGAAAGCTTGCTTAATAACTATTCTCCAACCATTTGGGTTGGTCTAATAAAAGATATCAAATTCACCCAAGGAACCTTGTCTGCCTAAGACCCCTTCAAGAAGTTCAACCAGGAGCCCTTCAAAAAGTCCGGCAAAGTCGCCTCAAATAAGTCCTTCCCAATAAATGTTTGCTATTTACAATGTAAATACATATAGACAAGTAATATAGCTACAATGATTTATTTTATATAATTGATTGAGTACTGTACAAAATTGGGTTATTTTTGGTGAAAATAGGGTGTTGGGCCTTGGTTTAGGAACCAATCCCCCATTTATAACATTTTTTCCTATGGGAAAATCAGTTTTGAGTTGCAATGTTTTGACTTATGACACAATTGGTTTCTGAAAACCATGTCTTAAGTCCAAGGACTGCCTGTAACTGGAAGAAAAAGGTTTGCCAACAAATTTTATATTAATAAAAATAAGACGATGAGCAGCTTTTGTCACTTTAAGGATGATATCTTACTGTTAAGAGAGCCTGTGAATGGATCCCCTGATTGTCATTAGAGGGGAGGGCAGCAGAACTCGGTCCAGACTATCCCCCGTTTAATGGCTCTCATCATGGAGGGGTTTACTAAGCCACACTCCTGGAACTACTCCTGGGTTTACAGGTTGAGTCCAGTTATGTTCTCTACTCAAGCCGCTTTATTTTCATTTTTGAATTCAGAAGTAATTTACTGAGTATTTTACACAATATTGTACTACTAAACAGTAAATAATGTAAGCGAGAGACTAATGGGTACTAGCCATAATACCAATAGAATAAGATAGTCATTAAAATATTTAGACTTTTTATGCATGATTAATGGAATTATCAGTCATTTTCCATCTTTGATTATATTGTTTTTTTAATATCTACTTCTAACCTGAAGTTATAACAGTTGATAAAGTTGTGTTTGTACTTGTTTTCTTTTCCATTCTTTTCATCCTTCATAACAGTTTAAATGACCTCATCTCAGATAGGTATCATTAGCTTCCCACAATGCTGTGTTGGGATTGCTGGCTCATAAGCAGTATTGTTTAAATTCATTGAACAATGGATAAACCAGGAGATAAGTCAGACCCGTGACTTAATATGACTTCTGATTGCTGGAGGCACTACTCCTTCATAATGCATTAGGTAGTCTCTCATTACTAGTAAGAAAAAACTTTAAAAGATAATTTGTATTGAAGTGTTTGGTTTGTCCTTTTTTTTTCTTCAGCATTGTGCTTTTGCTGAGCCAGAAGCAAGCACTGGAAGAACTCAAACAAACAGTTCAGCAGTTAAGATGCACTGAGGCAAAATTTGCAGCACAGAAAGAGCTCTTGGAACAAAAGGTGCAAGAGAATGATGGGAAAGAGCCACCTCCCGTAGTAAATTATGAAGAGGATGCCAGATCGGTCACTTCTATGGTATGCCCTATTCTTATTTCACTAGATAATGCAGCCTGCTTGCTGTTGCACTATACATCTTTAGGTCAGATGTTACTCTTCAGCAGAGGATACTCTACTGTAGGAAACTGAAACAGCTAATTGAGGGTATGGACAGGCATTCATTCTTACCGCTACAAAGTGTCTCAGCACCAAAATTTAGGGCTGTGGTAACCTATAGGTGTTTTAAGTCCCATGGCTAGAAAGTGACAGTCACCTCAAAGACAAGCTCTTTTGCCAAGAGGAGATACAGGAATTCACCTTTGTTCCCCCTGCCTCCACAGAAGCCTGTTAATGAGTCATTCGGTCAGTGAGGCTGCCTATGTGCTGGCATCAGCCCCTGTTGTGGCTACCACTGATCACATCCAAGAAACAGTTACTGCTGCTGGCAGCCCCATCAGTTTTTGCCATCCCATGGCCTGAGTGGGATGCTGTTCGCCACTCCGATTGCCTGGTCATTTCTCTACTTCTGACATTTTCAGGGAATGCTAAAATACCTACTCTTTGAGCCTCACAGAATATTTTGTTAGAACATAATAAGCAAGTTAGTGACTATAAATACAATTTCTTGTCCTGCTGCAGTTACTATCCATAAACCAGTGTTGGTGACTTGTGCAATTTTGTTTGCAAGTTGCATGATTTCAGCTGGGGCTGCAGCTACCTTTGCAATGATACAAGGGCTGGGTACAGACATTCAAATAGCCCAAGGCAGAATCAGTCTGTTATACAGTTTTTTGTAAGTGGCATAGTTTAGATTGGTAGCCAACAGAACATACATTCACGCTTTGGTGGGGTGGAGGTGGGGCAAGTCTTAGACTGGTTCTACCATTTCAAACCAGTCTGTATGCCAGACTTCTGTTTTTTTACAGGTATAGACTGGTTTTGTGTGTGCTGAACTTCCGTTATTGACCAGTTTCTGATCAATTACACCGGCAACAGCTTAATGTCTGTACCTGGCCAAAATGTTCCACCCTCCCATAACTTTCGCTTCTGCTTGGGGGGAAACCCTCTTCTGATTGGGTGTTCTTTCCCACTTCTGTACCTGCAGGGCCATTGTAGGAGTCAGGGCAAATCTGTCTGTTGTTCGCCATGGAAGCTGACACCATTCTCTCATCAGGGAAGACCCTGTAAACATCACTGTTTTCTTCCCTGCTGTCTCTGACCAGTGGATAGTGGTTTTCTCTGCTCCTTTCTCTAACCCCTGTCCTTTCTTGCAATACCCAGCAAGTGAAGCAAGGAGGGAGAGGAACAGAACTGTTAGAATCTACTTCTTTCCCATGCTAGAAAAAAAAAAAACCCAAACCAGTTTCTATTACCACCCAGACCTGACAAAGGAACTAAAGAACTTTTGGGACTGCCAGAAGAGCAGAAGTGAGATTGGAGGGGTTTGACTGATTCTGAAGATGGGAAGAATTAGCTTGTGCAGCGGTGAAAGCTTTGACATCAGGGCTGAGAATTGTCTTAGTTTATACATTTGGTGGAGCTGGTGATATTTTACTGTTGCGCATATACGTACTGGGCCCAAACGGAAGCAAAAAAAATCAAGGCAGACATCAAAACAGAATGTAACCTTTTTTAAAGGGTTAAAAAAAATTCTTGAAATGTTGAGGTCTGATTCTTGATTTTGAATCCTTGTATTGGGTAATACTCATAAGCACTGACAGGAAGTTATTGTTAGTTGGTGCTAAAGACCTGCAGTGGTTTGCATACCTCCAATGTGACTTTTAATAAATTGTGCTTATTGCAAAGTATCTTCTGCTGAAGAGTAATAGTTTGTACTGTGTGCATAGTGTACCTGGGCATCTATTGCTGCTGCTGGGGCAAACCTGGCTGCTAAGGGAGGGATTGTCCACAGCAGCTACAGGGTTATCAAAGCAGCCATAGGTTGTTGCTCTCTCTTACTGCAGTTGTCCATGTTTATGCTGCTGACAAGTGAAGAAATACAAAGGGGCTGAGTTACAGGGCTCCTTCAGGCTGCTGGGGCAGTGGCTTCTTTTAAGTCAGCAGCAGTTTTTGTTGCAGGTGTGTTTGCCTGAGGGAAAGTAACCCTGTGCATGCTGCACAGGAGAAGGTGCAGTGAGCATGCCTTCTATTCGCAGCCGACAGCTATGGAACCCTACATATTCACTGTGTTGCCCCCTTTGAAGCATGTGGAGGGTTACTTTCCCCTTTCCCAGTGGAGGCTGTTGCTGTAGGAGCTTCTCTTGGCTCAGCAGAAGTCTCTGACTCAGTAGCAGCTTGAGGATGTGTTGAGGCTTGGCTGTATTTCCATGCAAAACTTGCCTCCTCCCCCTCCCTGTTTCCAGCATCTGATTTTCAGGGGGGGGGGGAAAGGGATGCAAGAAAATACAGCATTTGGGAAGATGCATATAAGGGTTTCTTTTGTTTTTGTTTTAATTTTAATTTTTTTGTTTTTAATGGTTTACCCCAAATTTCTGTTGTCCCACAGAAGGTGGCAACAGCACAATAAAATTACATTAATATACTTTTTCTGTATGCTGCTGTTTTCTTAGTCCACTTCCAGTACCAGATCTCTTCCCTTCTATTATCCATTCATGCTTCTGTCACTATTATTTATTATTTGTAAGGCACCAGAAATCTGTATGACACTTTGGAGGCAAAATAAAACATAGTTGCCTATCCTAAGTAGCTTACATGTGAACTTGATATAGCTTCGCAAAGAATGACCAGAAAATAAAACAATACTAAAACATTGTATACCAACCAGAGATGAGGGGGACAAAAATAGAAGGACCAGGGTACCGTTAATGAAATATGGGAGGTATTCTTTTTGAAACCATCAGTCTTGATAGTTCTTTTGTAATATAACAATATAGTAAATAAGTCTTTTAATAAAGTAGCTGACGTGAGTGGTGGAAACTGTGTGGCAGAGACATCCGCCTTCCCTCCCCGGCTGGGTTACTAAAATTTATCTTCTAGTTAGAATATGTTTAAAGATGTTATTAAAATATCCTGATATCTGCTTTGAGTTCTTGGGGTAATGTGCTGATGTATTTTGCTGAATAGTGATGGCGTTAAAGCCATACTGAGCTGAGTTTTGCTGAACCTGAGTCATAAAGACTGTGCTAATAGAACTGCTAAAATGGGCGTTGGTAGAAAAGTTTGTCTGTTGTGATCCAACTTAATCTAAGATACTGTTATTAGCCTGCATATTGAGAGGGCGAAATTTAGTCAATCTAGGAAGAGGAGGAAAGAGATTAGACAGAATGTTTATTTTAGATAAATAGACAAACTGTCATAATTATTTATAGGATTTCTGTGATGAAATGCCTTTAAATTATGTAGGTGTTGAATAATCAATAAAGGAATTTTCTCACTGCTGTAGGCCTTCCTGCCATTTTTAAATGGCTTGGCATATTATTTGTATTAATCGTTAAAGAGAATCATTATTTCTTTAATTATAAACCCATTTAGGTCTGTCGTCTTCAGTTTAAAGCACGTTGTTATCCCAAATGTTTTTAATTTAGCTATTTATGCCTTGTAAAATTAATTGTATGTATTTCTTTTACAAGTTGTCGTTGTAAGAACAACCTCATTTTTATTGGCTTGCATTGTATGCAAGCATTTATCCTTGCATATAGAGTAACTTTCAGCATGATTTGAAAAATAGGAAAAACAGATGTATTTCTTCATAAAACTGTATGCTTTTTATTTGAAATGTCTTCATAAAGCCTCATTCTATAAGTCTATCAATCAGTTAAAAATAGCGCAGATTTTGTTTTTTCTGTCATTTGTAATATGAGAATGAATATTTCATTAGCTACTAGTTAAAAGGTGGAGTTTAGGAAATGTTTTTCTGGTATAGCTTATGTTAATTATACATCCCTGTGTAAATATATTAATTTGTGTACATCTCTGTGTGGTTTTATTGAGTGTTACAAGGTTCTCTTAATATGCCTTCATGTTTCATTGTTGCAAGTGTCTTTACTTTTTGATGTTGTGTGCTGTACCAGCCTACTTTATTGCTCATAAAATATTCATTGTCTGTTTGTCTCCAGTGCAGGTGTTTTATAGAAAAAGGAAATTGCTAGATAACTCTATCAAGTTCATTCTAGGTTTCATGGCAAGATAAAACTTGAATAGACTTCTTGAAATCCATTTTGTTCTTCCTAGGGTATAATGTGAGAATTTTTGTATTTCATCTGTTTTTAGGAGTTAATTCCTGAATTTTACTTTAAAATTAATTGAGGAAATTACATATATGTTTGAAATTGTAGCATTTTCCAACATTAAAATATTGATTCAGAAGTATTGCTTATAGGATAGTTGTATAGTTGGCAAATTGTACTTTTATAGCCATAAGATTGCATGCATTCATTAATTTAAATCAAATCAAATTAATTAAATCAAAATCATTGAAAGATAACAAGTATTATTTAGAGATGGTTAGTGAAATACAGGAGACCCTTGCCATTCATGGGGAACACGTTCTAGAGATCCCCACTAATGGGGAAATCCATGAATACTGTACTGTATCGATAATAGGCACCGCGAATATTCGAAACCGCAAATCTGTGAATAGCGAGGGTTTCCTGTAGTATTTTTTTCTTTAAAAAAAAACCCTAATTCTCTCTCTCTCTCTCTGTCTCTCGATATAGATATCTATATAGATATATAGATCGATATATTTTGATATATATTTATATAGAGGGTATTAGGCATTTTTAAAGAAAAAATACTATTCATGTAGCCATGAATGCAGTGAGCCTTTAATATTTGGCATTCCCTTTTGAATGGATTAAGAATTAATACTGTATTTACAGGTTTAAGAAGAACCATAACCAGTTGCGGCCAAGTAAACCAAATATTTATGGCTGGTGTTTTGTCATGGTAAGTTTTACCAAAACTAGTACGCAACAGCCATGAAAAGAGAAAAGTACTAACTTTAGGTAGGGAAAAATTCCAATTTTGATTTCTTAGTATTTCCTTTATTTTGAAAAAATATATATATATATATCTCC